AATGTCCCTGTTATTTCAAGACAACAGAACCATTCTTTAAAAGAAAATTATGCCCATATTATTATATTATTATTTTTTTTCATTGTTGTTGTTGTTGTGTTGTTATTTAATCTTTTCATTGTTGTTGTGTTGTTTGTTGTTTGCTTATTTATATTCGAGACAGTCGAGCATCTCTTGTAATTCCTTGGAGGTTAAGACAAATTGAAGGAGAAAGTTAGAGAAATGCAATGGAAAGTTGTGGCAAATTACGAAGGATGACAAGTAGGTAGCCTAGGATGAAGATGGAAGTTGAGAGGTGGTTAGTGTGGTAATTATTTCTACATTCCAATTAAAAAGCCTCTAATGACTAATGTAAAGATCCAATCAAGAACAGTAAACACATCATAGTTCTTTTATTTAGGGAGGTTATTATCTTAACTTTTAGAAGGTAAAATAGCATTAATTTTGTAACCAAATTGTGTTATCGACATAAATTTTTATTTGGCTTGAAAATAATAAGTTATCTTTTGTTTATTCTTCAATTCATGTTTCCTCTTCCTTTCAACATTTTTTCGTTTGAATCTAGCTTTATTGAACTTCAATTTTGCTTGATTGGCAAAAGTTTATAGCCAAATCATTTGTCAATTGTGGCTTGTAGAAAATTGCGGAAAACAATCGAATTTATAAAAAGAAATTTTGCAAACAACAAATTTGGTTTGAGGAAAAACACCATTCAGTCCACTCGATTCTAGCACAACTCATTCATTCATATTGCATACACATGCCACTCACTACATTCAATTTATTTTACATTATTTACTTACAGAAATACAAGTCGCTCTCTTTATCACTCACATACAAAGGAAAGTATAAACGTCTATATGATAAAAATTTTCACTGAAAAATTTATCAAAAAACACATTCAGTGATTAAATTGTATTAGTCTGATTTGTAAAAAAATTATAAATGACAAATCTGGTTCAACTCACACTCTCACTCATAGTTAACTCCACAGAGACACCCACTACAAATAGAAGAGAGAACAAGAGAGGGCAATAAATTAATACTAAATGAATTTGTAGTAGATTTGGTTTTTAGAGAGAGAGAGAGAGAGAGATGAGAGGGATGAAGGGCCAGATCTCGAAAATACTATTATTGGAGTCATTGTGTGGAGTCGAATCACCATTCGAACAGTTAGATTGGTGTAGAATCTAGAAACTAGATCAATGGTTCAACGACGATTTAAAGTTGTAGATTAGAGATGATAGAGTGTAAATCAAGCATGTGGGTATAGATTGGCTACAGTTGAGGTGGGTGGTGAATGTGGTAGTAGATGATGAATGATTAAAAAGTTTACAATTATTCCTATTTTTTTAACCATTCAAAGACTTTTATTAAAGTATTCCCTCAATATTCTAGGTTGTAAAGTTTAATGATTTAAATTTTTACTTTTTGTAGAGAATTTCAATTAGATGAAGATTTTGGCCGTTAACTTGCAATTATTAAAAAGAAATGAAGAAAAAAAATCGAATTAACCAACCAAAACTTTTTTTTTCTTTTTTCTTTTTTTGTATTAAGGAGGCAAGCCAAGAAAAACACTGAAAGAACAGAGTTGCCTTAGCATTTCTATCGAAGTGAGTTCCCCGACATACCTAGGCAAGCATTACGGAAATTTGATTGCAAGGTTGAGAAGTCAGCCGCCCTCTTTAGAACAGATAGCACCATTCATAACCTCCCTCGCGGAATATGCACGGACCAACCAAACTCTTTATGGAAAAAATTACGTATGTAGTCCTATGTAAGGAATCTATTTCCTTCCAATCCTAATATATTTTTAATAAACTAATAGGTGCACAGTTTTTTAAGTTTTGTACCCCGGGCCTTTTTTATTTTATTATTTTTTAAATGACTGTATTACCCTTTTTTTGCAGACTCTGATATATACGTGAAAATCAAATATTTGCCTCTGCAATCTTGATTTTCCTCGTTCGTTTATGGTGATCGCTTTGTGCTGTGTGGTCGATCGCATTGCTACTGTGAGGTGTATCTGTTGTGCGATCTGGAATCTGTTATATAGGCGATCTCGTGTGTACGCTCTGCTTTCTCTATTCTCATTCTGTTGTTGTGTGTCTGTTCTATATTGTCTGTATTCTGTGGATACATAATATGTTTTTCATATGTATATATAGATAAGCAAATTGCGTTTGAACATCTGGTTTTGGTGTTCCGGCAATGTTGTTATAGTTCTTTGTTTGTGATAAATATTTGTGTTGAACTGTATTTTGTGATTTTTGTATGTTGATATACTGTAAATGGTTTTTGTATTCTTGTTTGATCTCTCTGTTTGTTGTGATTATAATTGTAATGTATTGTTTTCCCAAGTGTAGTTTGAATTGTGGAATTGTGTTGCTTTTGATACTGCTAACAAGGTCGCGGCGGACCTCAGCTCACAGTTCGGACTCGATTTGTGTCACGGTTCTTAATCTGAACAAAGTGTCAAATCCGCAAAATCGTTTTGAGAAACAGATTTTTTTTGAAAAGAGTGCCAAACATGCGACTGCTTTGCCAGTAACAGAGTGCCCTAAAAAAAATTTATAATTTAAAATTTGGGGAAAAAAAAATTTAGGGGGGAAACCCAACCCCCCGAATCGGGCCGAAGGCCACATGTCCGTCATCACCGCCAGTCTGTCTCGGCTGGGCAGCTGGGTGCGATCGGGGAAGGTCACGCTATGAGCACCCCCTTTTCGCTCCGTCCGCAAGACCGGCTCTACTAACCGTGATATCTATTTTGAAATACGTTATGTGTTTTAATTCCGGCTATAGCTATAGGATTACTATGTTTGACCCACAGCAAACAAGTATAGACTAGATTGCCCTAATTTTGGAAATAAAGCATTGCATATCCGTATTGTTTGAAAAGCGCTTTTGGAATTTGCTACTATCGCAAGCTAGCTAAAATGCGATTTTCCAACGAGTTTTTCCAACTCAATACAATCCAACCTCACCCCGCAGGCACTCCAAACGAGTTCATCTCAACATAAGCATCTAGCCACATTGGCGTATGCATGCTATCATGGGCAAACATTCGCAGCGCATCAATATGGCTAAGAGCGAAAAATACTTACATCGTACTCGCGTGCCCTCAATAATGCTAAACGAAATACTCAGATAACGCAAATGTTCCGTCTGCATAAAAGCTACATGCATGTCCTAGCTCATTGTTAAATTGCCTAATGCAACAATCAGGATTGCAATCGAAGTGCGGCTCGGCTAACCTTAAGCATGGCATATATAATGCGATCATTGATGCACGTATCATTTAGAATCGAGAAGTACAATGATGCAGTTAGCGTGATGTACCGAGCCAGGTGCATGTAAAACAAATGGATGAATGCACGCATGCATTTCATGAGGTATGCTAATTTAAACATGTCCTATTACTAACCATTAAAGCAGGTAAGTAAAAGGGAAGAAAGAAGTGGGGATTGGAAGACATACACTCCACTCACA